GAGACGATCACTTCCCTAGTGCTGCTGGCCACACTGTTTCTGATACAAGCCAGAATGCTGTTGGCCTTCTTGGCCACCTGGGCACACTGCTGGCCCATATTCAGGTGGCTGCTGACCAACACCCCCAGGTCCTTTTCCACCAGGCAGCTTTCCAGCCACTCTTCCCCAAGCCTGTAGTTCTGCACAGGGTTGTTGTGACCCAAGTGCCAGCACTTGACCTTGTTGAACCAATTCATTATTCATTAGTCACTAGAAAGAGACCTTGATTATACACTTCAGGTAGGTCTCATTTGCAAACAGGAGTACTACACTCTGCAAATCTCTTGTGAAAACAGAGGTTGGCAGGAGGAACAGGTTCCCGTTCCCTACCACCCATGTGCTTCATAAGATCCCACAACACTACATTCATTAGTACCTTGCCTTTTCTCCTTATTTGAATACTTACTGGCATTTAAGCTTCTTATGTGAAACAAGCACAAGGAAGGAAATGATATAATTAAGAGCAATCTAATTTAAACACACACTCCATAGAACTATTTAGTATTTAATCAGAAGGACTACTGTGATTAGGAATGAAAGGTCTATGTGAATGACTCACCGTAACTAAATTAAAGATTAAAACATGTGGTTGAAAAAGGAAGTGGCTGGCTGCAAATCCTCTGTATTAATTGAATTCTGTTAATCAGTTCACTTCAAATTTTTGGAGGCTGTCTCGTTTCATTAGCTAGTCAGGGGAACTTATTTGTGCTGTCGGGACTTAGCTCCAGTAAGCTACAGAAGGTATTTTTCATTAGAATCATAAGCAATAAAATCATTATGCAATCAGTAAAAACCCAGATAAGTAAAGCGTAGGGGATAGGTGTGTTTCTGTTGTGAATGGAGGCTATACGCTTTCGTGAGATCCTTTGTCCTGTTAGACTGTGCCATTCCAGCAAGGAACTTCTGTTACCTGCGAGGTTAAAGCTAACCATCAGAATCAAATCTGCAATAATTTGGAGCCTGACACAACATTAATGAGGTACATTAGCACACTACTAGCAAGGGGAGGAAAGGTGAAAAAACCCCAATGCTTCAACAAACCAAGCTGGTCAGAAAGCTCTGCCCTGCTCCTCTGCTTCTCTTTGCATCAGGAGCTCTGAAGCGATGGGCATTTTGTGTTTCTGCAGTCATCTGCCATCCTTCAGGAACGTATAAAAACACAAGACAGAATACGAGAAGGACAAACAGCACAACGGAACAAGAGTTTTCATCATCAAGCAAAACCACTCCTGTATTCAGGAAATGCAAGAGGAAACTTAGAAGACGGGTATCGGGGATGGGGCGATTTTTGAAACAGGCCTTTTGAAAGGCACCGGGTGGAAACTTGCTGCCACCCAGCGGCAGCAGGTATCTGTTCCCATGACCTAGCACCTCTATGACGACAAGCGGGGTCAGCGCCCGGGCCCTGGACAGATGTACTCTGCGAGCCCGGGCTCCGCCGTGCCAGGAGCTCGGGCAGCGGTGCTGGCAGCCCGGGCACGCAGGGGCTGGGAGACTGCCCACCCAAAGGGACCCTAAGAGGTGAGTCTGAATTCAGAGGTTAATCTTCTCTTGCTGTCTCTCAGTGCCAGATATCGCATACAAAAATGGCGATTCAAACGCTGCTCAAACCCAAATGCACGTGGAGTTGTGCAAAGTACTTGTAATTTTGCTGACCACGTTGAAACAGTATTATCTTGTAATGTGTTAAAAGTGGCAGTAAAGAACAAAGCAGGCCAAACTGCTGACTGGCAGATCACTTTATAGGCAAAAAGTAATTTTTCACCAACTCTTTTGAGGGTTCTTTTGGGACGGACAGAGAGATGCACACTCTGCCATGTTACACAACTACTGAATTTTTCTGTCAGAAGAGACTGCAAAATTTTAGCATCAGAAAAAAAATGTATCTATAAATAGCCAGGCAGACGGTAAGCACAATAGTGGTACCATTGGAGAATTTTTCCACTAGTGAAGGTGCTGATTTAAATAAATGGGGAGAATAATAATTACAATAATAAGATAGAAGCAACCTATGGCAGATAAGATTTAACTGAAAAATAAAAAGTGCATTTCCTTGACATTAAATTTCACAGTCCCATTACCTGCATCTTATCTTTTTTTTTGGAGTTCAAACTCATTTTGTCCCATCATCTGTTGTCAGGATGACTTGCATGTTGAACTGTTCAGTGTTTTCCTAAACAGGTTGTTCCTGAGCTGTTCAAAGAGAGCTGTAAAAACAGGTGGATCAGGAATACTGACTTGCTGGTGCAAGCAGGAGTTTTTCACAAGTTCTGCAAGAACTCCAACAGAAACTTAACTCTTGTGTTTCCAGGCTCCTGGCCCTATGAAGGTTTTGGTTCTCTCTCCCCAGCATCATGAATATGCAACTGTATGAACGATCTCTAGCATTTTTCCAAAATTTATTACTTCATCCTCTATCATTCAGAAAATTCACATAACAGGAAAAGGAAACTTCGCTTTAGAGATGGACAGACTTTATCTAAAAGAAAACTCCAAATGTGTTATAAACATAGTACACTGTGGCATATTAGTGCCATTATACAGCACTGAAGTAGAATGGCCAGCAATGCCCATTGACCCTCATCCGCAAATTGCCTAGCCAATTAAAAGCCTTTTATGTCAACAGTTACTTTGATCCAAATCATTATCCTGCATTAAAACATACCACAATAACGTTTTGTCATGTAGAAGCCTTCAAAATAAGCATCTTGCCTGTTAGAATTTTTACCCTGAGAATGGTATGTCGTGAAGTTTGATGTAGGTCTACGCATTAATAGCCCACTTTTCCAGTATGCGCAAATACCTTTCTGTACATAGTTAATTTTTGTGTTTCCATGGTATTCCAAGGCTGTTAATATTTGGAAATGTCTAATTTTTTTCTGAGAAATATTAACTCATGTAACAATAATGTATCCAGACTGTAACCCCAGCATATATAGTGCTTGTCTATTATTGTGAACACAATCATTCAGGATAGGAACATTTCATGTTTAACAACAGGCAATATTTATTATTATAACTGGAGAACTCTACATACAGTATTGCACAAAATTATAATGGACCAATCAGCAAAACCATGTTCCTATGCAACTGTAAATAGCACTTTAACAGAAGTTTAACACATTGTGCGTTAGGTGTCTTAGTAAAGTGACAATTTGGAAGATTATTTCATGGCAGTACAAAAGTGCAAACTTTCATTCAAAGCCTATACACAAAACACTTGAAAAGGATTGGTATACATGTCACAGGTCTAAAAAAAAAAAATCCCCAAACCAATCCCCTTCAACCCAAAGCGCACCAAAACAAGGTAAATGAGTAAGTACTAGCACTCTTAGCAGCCACCAGCGCTACCACATTCAAAGTCGTATCCTCTGGCAAGAAGCAGAGGAACACAATCTGAAGAAATGCCCTTAGCTTGGAGTTTTATAGTGCAGCTATATCACATTAACTGCCTCTTTTTTTTTGTTTGTTTGGCAAGACTGAAAGAATTACGGCACTATAAATGCACCTAGCCAGTGTATTACCAGTAATTCCTGAATAACTATATAAAGTAACTGCGTACAACAGTTGGCTGTTGAAGGAAATAGTGTTTTTACATCAAAAAGAGATATAGTATACAACCAAAATACAATATTAAACTATAGGTGTGGAAATTCGACCACCTGTTCCTGTGCACTACATAGAACACATCAAGAATTATTTTATCAAGAATAAGAATGCAGATGCAATCCTACCTCTTCAGCACATTACTACGCCAAAATTGTTCACAGACACATGGGTATAACGGACCAGATCAACGTGAGCTCTGGATTTTTAACATGCAGCCTTAATGCTCTCAGCTCATCCCCACCTCAACACCTTCTTCGCTGTGAGATCGCAGTCCCTGTTGTCCTCTCCTTTCTACCTGCACCCTTTTCACCAGCTATTCCCATCAGTTACCCAGGCAGACAGGTTCTCTTCTCTTCTGCACAAGGCAGCAGCGTAGCTGAACAATGTCATCTCTGGACAACCAGGGAAACATGGGAGATAAAAGGATGGAACAGTACTCCTCTCACACTGGCTTTTGAGAAGGCCTGGAGAGACAGTTACACTTCTGCCTGAGCACCAGCAGAAGTGCTGAAGACTTTGCAAGCTTGAAAAACACTGGTTTACACAAACAAACTTCTGATTAGGAGAACATTAAATTCTATAAACATGGTATTTTAATTACTGTCTGGAGTAATTTAAAACTATTATGAAACACTAGGGTTTTTTAAAATTATAAATGCTTTTTCTCCTGTTACCAAGTTAACCTCAAGACAGGAGTTAAATAGAAGTTACCATAAGCTTTGGTAAAAAACCCTAGTACCTACAGAGATACAAAACAGAGTTCAAGCTGGAACAAAATTAGTAGCAGACATGACTACAAAAAAAAGTAAAGTGTAAGATTTCTCTCAAAAAAAAGCATTCATAGTTTTTGGTGTACAGACAGCACATTCTGTGAACATGGGGAAACAGAATCTAGAGGCAGTTTTACTAACTTTGTAATTTAAGTCAAGAAAGATAACAGAAATGTGAGAAACAAGGCCTGCGTGTACTCTGCTTTAGTACTCCAGTGCCTGAATATATTTCATGTTCTTGAAAATGGCTTTCCAAGTACAGCAGAGACTGTGCCTTCAATAAGGAAAGGAACAGAATTAAAATTGGGTTAGCCCACTTTGAAGTATTTCTACAAGCAGTGCTACAGTAGCCTACCACTATATTAATATATGAACTTCTTTTTGGACTTCCCTAGATTTATGGAAAAATAAACCACCAGAAAACCCACACATAAAGATGAAAGCATCACAATACTACAAAAAACAAAGCAAGCATCTACATAATCATAGTATACTCTGAAGCGGAGGACTGTGTGCCTGTGTATATAAATCTTTATAAACAAGCGCATATAAATGGTCGGGGTTTTATTTTCCTTCCCCCCACCCCAAATCAAAGCAGAACACATAAGCAATATATTCGTTCAAACGGGTTCTGGATGGGGAAGTGTGAGTAGAGTGGACAAAGAAAATGAAAAGAACAGTGAGATTTTATTTCCTTGGCATGTGAAAGTACAGACGTGTTACTAGGGCACTTAAGTGTTCTTACCTTTTGGATCCCAACTCATCACAAATTACAGCATAGCTATATTTAGCGGTGGAATTTAACACACAATTTACATTTTAAAAATTATTTTATTTTCCTTAATGGTATCCACACTTTACACAGCCTACGAACCTGAAGAAAATGCATTTGCTTCCGAAAGCCGTAACAGTAAGTGTTTTGGGGTGTTCAAAGTCAAAGTAGTAGTCTTGAAACTTCAGATGTTAAAGCTTTCTCCACAGCCACATGTTCCTTTGATGTTTGGATTATTGAAGACAAATTCACTGGACAGTTTGTCTTCTACATAGTCCATTTCAGTTCCTAGAAGTGTCAGCTGTGCCTTCTTCTCAATAAACACTCTAACCCCTTGAAGCCAACAAAGACAAAAAAAGTTACATACAGCAAAATCATCATTCACTTTAAAATTATCTTTCGACTAGTGATAAAAAAATGGAAGCTAATTATGAAGACTACCAGTATAACTTGGTTTCCCACATCTCACATGAAGCACTTCGATCACTGTTTTTACTCTACCTATAAAACTCCAGCAACAGGTCTAGCACTGTTATTTGTGTATGCATGCGAATGTATGTATTGGGGAGGGGGAGATGGGATTTTAAAAACATGATACCCAGGGAAATAAGCTGTAAAACCTGGGAACAAAGCTCAGCTTCAACATTAATTCCCATGCATTATGGTCAGTAACCCATTTCCTACCATTCTTAAAGTCTGTGCATCCAGTAAGATGCCCCAAAACCTTGAAAAATGAAATGTTCCTCTCTCAAGATTATTATTTGTTTGCTCTGCCAAAACTACTAGGTCTACATTAACTATTAGCAATACTGAATCCTATAAGGCAGCAAATGTATGAACTTTCAAATATATCACAACCTTTAAGGATTAAGAATTAGTAGTTCATTTTAGGAACAGGAAAGAGCTCCCTTTTCTGAAGCATCCATTTCTGGCTGGGAGAGAGTTGACTTTCTTCACAGTAGCTGCTATGAGGCTATGGTTTGGATTTGTGCTGAAAACAGCGTTGATAGCACAGGGATGTTTTCATTACTGCTGAGCAGTGCTTACACAGAGCCAAGGCCTTTTCTGCTCCTCACACCACCCCACCAGTGAGGAGGCTGGGGGTGCACAAGGAGTTGGGAGGGACACTGCTGGGACGGATGGCCCCAACTGGCCAAACAGATATTCCATACTATGTGACATCATGCTCAGCATACAAAGCTGGGGGAAGAAGAAGGCAGGGGGGGACATTTGGCGTGATGGTATTTGTCTTCCCAAGACTCCATTACATGTGATGGAGCCCTGCTGTCCTGGAGATGGCTGAACACCTGCCTGCCCATGGGAAGTGGGGAATGACTCCTTGCCTAACTTTGCGTGTGTGCGTGGCTTTTGCTTTACCTATTAAACTGCCTTTGTCTCAACCCACGAGTTTTCTCACTTTTAATCTTCCGATTCTCCTCCTCATCCCATCACGGGTTGGGGGGAGTGAGTGAGCGGCTGTGTGGGGCTTAGTTGCCAGTGGGCAAGTTAGTTGCCAGTTCCTTGACAGGAACTTTAGCAATAAACCTATCATGAAATGCTAAATGAAATTATCAGGCAGAAATAATACCAGCATATGAAAACAATTTTTAAAATACTCTAAAATCATAGAAACTGTTGTTAGAAAGCTATGTAAAGGTCAAAAGCATAAAGAGGTTAAAAACAAATTACAAATCAACGAAGAATAAGGCTAGTTAGAGAAGATAATTGGGAAAATCCCTTGCAAATAAAATTTTTTACTTTGCCAAGCCTTGGTTTAGGTATGCTGCTCAAGTATGCCTTTATCTATGCATTGTTCTGTATTTTTCTCTAAATATCTGCTATTAGTCACCTCCAAAGACATGAATGACGGACTAGACTATTCTGGTGGAGTAATCTCTGAGGCAGAGACTGCAAAGCTTCAGATTTTAACTAACTGGTTATTTCAAAACAGAAACTAAGGTGACAATGATTCCTATAACAGAACAGTAGGACCTCTTGCTGTAACTCATTACTTCAAATAAGTTCTAACCTGTACCTCGGCAAACCTGTAATAGGTTATTCTTCCCCACCACCACTGAAGTTTGCTCTGCTGCATTAGAAACTCACCGTCTTGAACTACTTCTTCATCAGAGTCTCCTTTCGATTTTGTGTATTCTAATGTGTAAGAAAGTCCATTGCATCCTCTTGTACGAACACCTACTTTCACGCCTACCTAAAAAAAAAAAGCCAAAAAAACAAACCCCCCATTCATGACTTTTTAAAAACCTATTCTGGAACAGCAAGATCAAAAGTATGCAGAACAGCAAAATGCTGACACTGATTATTCTCCACTGCCTCAAAGCAAAAGTGAATTAGCTTAATGGATTAAGCTAATTTTTTTTTCTCCTTTTACAAAATTGACTGCCAAGGTAAAACCAAATGTCATATGTTTGCTACTGTGGATCAAGCCCTAAAGTATGTTAAAGTTTTGAAGTAGTGAACTGTTGGCACTCCTGTAGGTGTCTAGTCTCATGCAGACAGTCAAATTTCAAAGATGGCTATTTTTGTGGCTTCAAATTAAAGTTTACTCAGATGCTAATTCAGGCCCTATGTTAAGATTATTGACAGTAACGTAATTATGAAGCTGTGAGGCCAAGACAAGGGCAGTTAATAGATTTTCACAGAACTCTTGTAATGACATCATCAGAAAGCTTACTTCAAACCAAAGTTTTGAAAAATGTACTTTGATTTCTTCATTACTTCTACTGCTAGTCTCACTTAAAAAGCAATCCCCTCCTTCAATCAAGTATGTTTATTTGCTTGCTGTTTTAATTGGCCTTAAAAGCCAACTTAGTCAACAGGTTGTAGCATTCACAGTATCCAACAACTCTGGCAAAAAGAGCATCTCCGTGAGTAAAGAACTGCGAAACGGTTATAAAGAAATGGAAAACTATTGGTGCACAACAATCTTTCAAAAGTATCTGTACTACTGGCCACACACCAATGCTTTGCAATTGAAGAAGAGAATTACACTATTTCTGTAATCAATGTCATGATAAAAACGTATCAAAACACATAATTTGTCATCAAGTGGGATCTCAGACAAACAGCATTTCATTTCCAGACTGAATACCTTTTCTCTACAGGAACAGCTACAAACAATGCGCTGGAAAACGCAAACACCATTTAGAGTAAGGGGATCAGTGATCAGCTAAGCTGTAACCTTAGGTTTTCCTTTGGACGGTTTAAAACATTGCAACAAGGAGTCTAGTTAGTTGCAGACGTGCAGGAAGCAAAAGAAACAATGGGCCTTGTATGAAAGTTAAAAGAGAAACATTCTTCTTGAAATAATACTTACTGCAAAGAAGAAAATCTAATGCCTGTTTTTGTAATGGTTAGAAAGCAAGACTCTGTATGGTCTTACCCAAGAAGAAAAGACGACAAGCTCAATCAGTTATTTGGAGAAATGCTGATTATTTAAAAAAACCACACTGTCTGGCAAGATGCCCAAGAATTAGATGTTTTCCAATGGGTATGAATCTAACTTTACTATTACATACTTCATAATGAGAATTCCTACAAGTACTTAATTAATAGCATCTTAATATCAACAGCTGAAGGTGTCTTTCCCTCCCAGAAGTCACCACTATGCCATACTGGAAAACTTCATTTAAATAGAGCTAAAAAATATTTTGCAGTTTAAAGTTTTTTCAACTTTATCCATCTCAAAAGTAACTGTAGAATGAAATGTCATTACTGTCAGTTATTTCCTGCATTTCATTCTATAAAGAAATGAAGCTTAATATGTAAACAAGCTTATGCATTCCCATCCAAAACAAAGATGCCAACACCTCTAATAAACTCCTCAGCATTTATTTCAAACTTCTGAGTTAGCCAGAGATGCTTTGCAATCATAAGCTGTGCTAATACCTCAGTACAATCCACAAGTTGGCAACTATTTATACTTACATGCTCAGGTTTATCTTTAAGAAGCTGTTTTATCTTCTGAACAGCTGATGGGGTCTGAAAACCAAAAACATACACATCAATTTGAAATAGGGGTTTGGTTTTTTTTATTTGCAGAGAGTGCTTGCACACATTAAAGTGTGCAATGTACTTAGTTGTACTATAAAAAATTTCTGTTTCAACTCTGCACTCAAATTTTCTTACTTTACGTTTGTCTCCTATCTGCAAAGTTCACCTTTAGCATCAGCCACCTGTCAGTATTGACTAGCCTGTGTTCTACTTGAAACTGATGTCTGATCTGAAGATATGCACTCTGCTGTAAAACAGATGATTGCTGTATCTAATCCAGGCAGAACACAATACCTTTTCACTCCCCTTCTCACTCACATTGCCAGCAAACAGATAGCTCAACAACTTCAGCCCTTAATATTAGGTTGTGGTTGGGTTTTTTTCCCTGCAAAATCACTACCACAATCCAATTAAGTAGTTCTGCTCTCTTTTGTCACAGACACATTACAGACAAAAATCAGTTAGGCATAGAAATGTTTACAGCCTACTTCTCTCTTCCCACTAAGCTAGTGGAGAACTATGACTTTACAGCAGACAAATTCACTGTTCACACAGATCTAGTTTTTGTAGAAATGCAAGAACACAACACAAACATAAAAATTTCCATTACATGCTTATGAGTTTCTCAGACACTGAGAAAACAGGAAGCATTAATAACATGAAGTTCTTACCACAAGCAGACTTAAACACACAAACTACAAGTTAAACTTACAGCAGAAAACTTCTAGTTACTGCTATTGATTTTCGTTTGTTACAGAACCACTACCAAATGGGAATTACCTGCTCTGACAAGTGACTCAACTATGCACACTTAATCTGCTCCTGTTACTACGCAGAACTGACTATACTTTCTTCCGCGGTAGTTCCTCAGCAGTACAGCCTACCCAATGCTGCCGCTAGTAGCAAATGCACTTAATTAACAAAAGGACACAAAGCCTTCTTGGAAACAACCTACTCGTCAGCTTCTGTAAATAACGTTTGTTTGTTTTGAATAAAGGCAGTTCCACGGGTAACTGCATAAAGGCCTCCCGCATAAAGGGACGGCACTGACATTCTCCCTTCCCCGCTGCTTGCCCTCCGCCGTCCTCCTTTCTGCAGAGGTTGCCCGCACACGGAGCAGGCGCGGGCTCTTCTTCCCAGCGGGATTAGCAGGGGGCCGCAGTTCCCCCCGCAGTA